TTCAGGTCCCAGGTTCACTACAGTTAAAAGAATTCATGGAAAATGATGTATCTTGAGATGAGAGGGAGGAGAGAGAGAAGAGGGAGGAGAACAAGCACATGTCCATACAACTCTGTAGATCAGCAGAGACAACTGGTAACAAACACTGTGACCCCAAAAGAAAGATAAGACGATCCAATTTGTTATGTTTTTAAAACTACATTTATTTATTTGTGTATGCATGGAGGTCAGAGGACACCTCACAAGAGCCAGTTCCCTCTTTTCTCTGTATTTGTCCTAGGGATTAAACTCAGGTGGTCAGGTTTGGTGGCAAGTGCCTCTCCACATTGAACCATCTTCCTGGCTCCGGAGATGCAGTCTGTAATGTGCCTGCCTTCTCCAGCCTGGATCTCTGTTCTCCATGAATCCTCTGCTACTGGTTCTGCTGTGGCCCCCTTATGCCTCCAGCCTGGTGTCTGCAGGGGGGGTATAGGAGGGGGAAGAGTGGAAGACATTGGTGCATCAGAAGAAGCCAACATGGCCCTTCCTGCCTATCAGCCTGGGCAAGAGAACAGCTGTCCAAACAGGATCCAGTAACTTAGGGAGGGGCTGGCAGGGGCGGGAAGGAAGCATGTTGGTTTTGGACAAGAGAATGGGACAGCTTAGGCTGGGTGTCTGCCACCACCTGAGAGAGTAGACCCAGAGGATGGGTCATAGAACCTCTTCCCACAGGAAGTCAGGCCCTCACCACCCCAGCCACAGCCGGGCACAACATCCCCACTGATCCCACACTTTCCTTCTCATTTTGTCCATTCACCAACATTTCCTCCCAGGTCTGCCTTTTTAGGGATGGCCATTGTATCTGGAAGTCATGGCCACGGTACTTTTACCTGGTCCCATAGGATTGTGGGTGAAGGAGCCTTGGATATTACTTTTGCCCTGCCTGTAATCCCTGGACCGGGGCCTTGTAGCCGTTCCTGACCACGGCTCCCCAGGCATTCTCGGCCAACACTCCCATGGCCAGGCCAGGGCTGGAAGGCTACGTTCTTCAATCGTGTCGGCACCCAGCTAGCTCTGGAATCTCACTGGTCCAGACTCTGTGGTAGGAACCAGCTGAAGACACTTTACCTCCTTGGGCTGACAAGCTGGTTCAGAGAAGGTTTGGTCACCAAGTCTGAATACTGAGTTTGATCCTCATGATCTATGGCATGGTAGAATGGAATGGCTGGCTCCTGAAAGTTGTCTTTGGGGCTCTGTGTACCGCCTGTGCACATGCATACATATGCACACAAATAAGTAGGTAAAATATAATAAAAAGCTAGGAGTCGTGGTACACACCTTTAGTCCCAGCACTTGGGGGGCAGAGGGAGATGGGTCTCTGTGAGTTTAAGGCCAGCCTGGCCTACAGAGTGAGTTCCAGGCCAGTCAGAGATGCATAGACTCTGTCTCAAAACAAATAATAATAATAATTTTTAAAGAGACTTTCTTTCCTCCCAGTGACATGACGTTTTCCTAGCCTACCTCTCCTCAAGGGCCTTTTCCCCAGTGTCAGGCAGCCTCCTCTCCGCTGTGATTTGTCAGGATGCTTTCTTCAGAGGATCCCTGAAGCAAGGCCTCAGACTCTTCTGAGCAGAAAGGGACTTTCAAACTTTGTAGATGAGGAAACTGAGTTGCTGCCTAACGTCTCACAGAGTGGAGAGGGCTGAACCTGCCCTGCCTCTCGATTAAGGTCTCACAGAGTGGAGAGGGCTGAACCTGCCCTGCCTCTCGGTTAAGGCCCAGGAGGCATTCAGAGTTGTGGCAGCAATGCTTCATCTTGCTTTGTTTGTTTATTTTCTAAGAGTTAGGCACAGCCTTCCAACTGAGCCACACTTTCTAGTCTTTCCTTTCCGTGAGTTCATGAGCATTCACATAGCCCTGCTAACTTGGAAATGGCCCTTAGACCCTGAAGTCATGACCTCCCTTCATACCAAAGCCTTGAATTTATCTCCTGCTCTCTCACACTAACCCTGCTGACCAGGCCGGCCTCCAATTCCAAATCCTCCTGCTTCAGCCTCCAAATGTTGGGATTATGGGTGTGTGACCCTATAACCAGTGGAGACCACATCTTTTGTTGTTGTTGTTTTTGTTTGTTTGTTTTTCAAGACTGGGTTTCTCAGTAGCTATGGAGCCTGTCCTGGAACTTGTTCTATAGACCATGCTGGCCTCGAACACAAGAGATCTGCCTGCCTCTGCCTCCCCAGTGCTGGGATTAAAGACATGCGCCACCACCGCCAGGTGAGACCACACTTCTGAGGTTGCATTGTCTGTTTTTTATGGGGAGCCCACATCTTATTAACCTATTGAATGTTGCCTCATTTGCACCATCATTTGCACCATCATTTGCACCATCACTTACACCACTGTGCAGTTCTCTGCCAGCAGTCTGTAAAGACTTCCTGGCACAGGCAGGGTTGGGCTGGGTGACGCTGATCTGACCCTACTCCAGGCCGCAAGACTCCCCTTTACTGGGCTTGAGGACAATGACAGAATCTACCTGAGGCTGCCTAAGGAGTCAGGTGAGGTCATCTGAGTAAAGTACTTCCTGTGCCGGGACCAAGTGCTGTGTGGTTTCCTGGATTCTTTCATCCCATCTTTGGGGATATGTGGTTCCTTTTCCTTTGGTCCCACCCTGACAAGCAGTTGGGAAGGGGCTAGGATAAATGCCCCCAGTGTTCATCCAGAGCTAGAGACCCCAAGCCCATGCAGACCCTCGGTGGGATACCTGAGCATTAGGCAGATGAAGAAACCCCAAGAGAGGCCCCTACTGCCATCCCCTAGATCAGAACAGGCTGCACTGGGGTCAGAGATACATACTGACCACCGGAGACCTAGCTTCGTCCTGCTGGATTCCTTTTTATTGTTATTGTGAGACTGGGCCTCACGTCACCGTCCAGCTTCAGCGTCTGATACACCTGTGTTGTTTTGTTGTTGCTGCTGCTGCTGCTGTTGTCTGAACTCCTAAGAGATTACAGGTATCACAGCTCCCAGCTCAGGATAGGGCAGGCTCTCACTATGCAGCCCTAGCTGGCCTAGAACTCCATCTGTAGATCAGGCTAGCCTCAAGATCCAACTGCCTCTCCATCTCCTGAGTGCTGGGGTTAAAGGGCTTGTCGCCAAGCCCAGCTTAGGTCAGGGTCTTGTTTTGACATAAACCTAGGCGACTGAGAAAAGGCTTGGCAAAACGCAGCAATTGTTTTAATGAATTTCTCTGCATGGAGGAAAAAGAGGTCCAAGAGGAAAACACAAACAAATCCCCAGAAATCCAGAAAATATTAGTTATCTGACTTACTAGTAGAATAGGTTATAAAACAAGACAGTGACACTAGCTTACGGTGGCCTCGGACTGGCAATGAACTTAAGGATACAGAGATGTAAACACAGTGCTTCCTGACATGGGATTCTCACACTCGAGAACGTAGGAGGATAAGCAGCCAAGACACACCAAGGAAAAATAAAGCGAGTCTCCATATCAATCTCTACTACGTCCAGAGATAGTCTCAGAAGATTCTGTCCTCCGAGGCTGGGGCAGATCCTGGGTTCGAGCACACTGTACAGAGAAGGCAGGGAGGTTGGACTGTGTTTGGCGTTCGGGGGCTTCCCAGCCTGTCATGTTCTGGGCCTGTCTTGTGCGTCTGTCTTTCATTCTCTGCAGGTTGCCTGTAACTCCTTGAACCCATAAAACACATACCCCTTTGACCTACAACCCTTTTCTGGTCTCAACAGGACACCCAAACACACCAGGGGACGAAGACCCCCTCCCCCAGGAGCCACTCAGTCCAAAGGCATTTGGGAAACAAGACGACAGAGACATTTTATTAACTATCCACCCGGCTCCCTCTCAAAGTTTCTGGTATGTGGATTATTATTCTGTCTCAAATTTTGTTGCTGCTGAAGAATTTTTGACTTAGCCAGGAAAAAAACCCAGAATGCTGGCCTGTTGCTGCCTTTGTCTTAGTACTTCAGATGGTGGACTTGGACTTGGTGTCAAAAAAATCACTAGCGCATCTGGCCGAAGAGTGTCAGTAGGACCTGCCCCAGACGTAGCCACACCCAACAGTCAGCTGTCAGCAGGCTTACCAGGAAAACTGGGGCCTGGAGAAGGATGTGGAAGGAGGTGATGCCAGGGAGGGAAGAGAGAGAGGTGAGGCACTGTCCATGGGCAGGGCAGGAAGAAGGTCTTTAATGGAACATCTCAGAGAACAGGGAGGGTCTGCATCACCACCCCCAGATCCTAGGCACAGAGGAGGTTTGAAATGTCCAGGATAAATAGAACCAATGGGGTTGGAGAAAAAGCCAGCTCCATCCCCTTTAAAAAACAGTCTTACTGTGGGCACCAAAAATATATTAATATCTGTACATTTGTCATCTTTTAAAAAAAAGGCAATAAAACCTCCTTGGTACCTTGTAGTTGGCTTGTTAAGAATGAGGTGATATGGAAAGCCATGAGTGCACATTCAGACGTGACTAAGTCACACATAAAGCCGCGTGACACACACACAAGCACACACATGGGGGGCTCTGATGTAAAGGCAGAGCCCTTGGAACCCTGAGAATTAGCCCTGCAGGCATGTGAGCCGCCGCCAGCCCCACCGCCGCCCTAGTTAGCGGGGATGCTCTTTGCTGGGGTCGGCTCTGCAGTCCACGGGGATCCATTGCCCGGCTTGTACTCCAGCTCGCCTCTCGACACGTCTCCAGCATCCTGCCACAAGGAAGCAAGGCCTGGCTCTGTAGGCAGCTGTCTCTAATCACTTGGCCTCGCGCCCGCTCAGACACAGGCACTCATCGTCCTGGGCTCAGAAGGACCCTGCCTGTAAAACAGACTTCCCAAAGTGAGCACAAGACAGTGCCTGACCACGCAGGTGTGCTTGGCATGAGGCACTAGGGCTCTGGTCCTGATCCCTGGTGTTCTGGCAAGAGGCTGCAGGAAGGTGAACCCACTAGGCAGTGGGGAGGGAACCCCCGTCCTTCCTGCAGGCCTGTGCTGCTCAGAGGTGGGGGCTGCCCTGCAGCAGGGAAGTGACAGTGTTCTGTAGGGCCACAGCTACTTTCTTGGAGGTCTTGCGTAGCAGTGGGCTGTCGGGGTGGTTCTCCTTGAGGTGCAGGACGTGACCCTCCTGACTCTCAGAGGTGCAGCCGCACTCCTCACACACGTACAGCTTGGCCCGGCGCTCCTTGTACGCGTACTTCTGCTGCACGCCGTGGATCTTCTTGAGGTGGGACTCCAGAGAGCAGCGCTGGGTGAAGGCCTTGTCACACAGGCTGCACTTGTAGGGCCGCACTCCTGTGGACAACAGGGGGTGGCATCAGGACCTGACAGGGACTGTGGAGCCTGTCTGAAGCCTCCGTACACACAGAAGTCAGGACACCTGAGTGCCAAGTAACCAGGTGACTTGGGAATCAAGTCCTTGTCTATGAATTCAGGACACTGCCCTAAACTTCAGGATGTGCCTCCCAGGTCCCAGGCAGGTCGGAGGCATGCCCTCTGGACAGACTTCACTTACCAGTGTGGGTTCGGACATGTCTCTTGAGGTCAAAGGTGTCATTGAAGCCCTTTCCACAGTATGTGCAGAGATGCCTCTTGACATCGTTGTGACATTTCATGTGTCGGTTCAGCATGCGCTGGTAGGTGAAGGCCTTCTGGCAGATGTGACAGGTAAAAAGGTCCCCATTTGGACTGTCCCCCAAGGTCACCTGTGAGTGAGGACGGTATTTGTGGCAGATATCTAGAAATCAGCGCTATAGGCTGGCACATATGCCAGCCCCCTTCCATCCCCACAACACTCTCAAGAAAAGCAGGCCCACCCTCCAGAGCCAATAACCCGTGATGTGACATTTGCTAAGAGGAGATGCAAAGAACCTCTGGGTATTGGCCCAGTTTCCTGTTGGGTCCCCCTTTGGAGGCTGTCACCTTGAACTTCCCATCCTCCTGATTTTATCTCCCAAGTGCCGGGGTTACAGGAGTGTGCCATTATACCTGGTCCGCGAGGGGCTGAGGGTGGAACTCAGGGTTTTGTTAACACAAGGCAAGTCCTCTGCCCACTGAGCTAAATCTCAAGCCTTAGAAATAGTTTTCTATCTTTGTATAAAAACTTATTTTATGTCTATGGGTGTTTTCCCTGCATGTATATGTCATGCCTGTGTGCCACATGCTTGCCAGTGCCCATGGAGGCCAGAAGTCTTATCCCTTGGAACTGGAGTTACAGACAGCTGTGAGGGGTGCTGTGGGTGCTAGGAATTGAACCCAGGTCCTATGGAGGAGGGCTGGAAGACTGATGAGCCATTTCTACTGTTCCATCATTTTCTTTATTAATTATGGAAAATTTCAAATTTATGCAATGGCGGAAAGACTAATGTCATGATTCCTTGTCCATTACCTGGTGCAGGTCTTCTTACTCAATCTTTATTACCCTCCTGCTCCTTGTCTGGGTCATGTGACACACCCTGGTGCCACCACCAGACACTGTTTAGAGCGGCTGTGACAGCATTCTGGGTGTGACCACAAAGGTGTGGCTGAGCGACCAGGTCTCTTCCTTGACTTCACAGTGACTGGGCTCTGTCAGGGGCCTGCCACTAACCATTCCTCCTGAGATCCTGGACATCTGTCATACCACACTTCCATTGGCACCCCTCCCTTTATCCTGCTTTTGGTGTTCGGAGAATTCCCTGTCTCTTGCCAATTAAGATCCTTTGAGCCAGGCGGTGGTGGTGCACGCCTTTAATCCCAGCACTCAGGAGGCAGAGGCAGGGGGACCTCCGTGAATTCGAGGTCAGCCTGGACTACAGAATGAGTTCCAGGACCTATGTCATGTCTCCTATGTTGTCCTGTCCTGTGTTCTTTCTCTCCCTCCCTGTAGGGATCTGAAGGGTAGAGGAAGGCCTGGCAAGGAGGTTGAGCCTAGTGACTGTGACCAACGTAACCTCTTTGCCGTTACCCCTGGCCTTTGCAGGTAGGAAGAGAAGGGACAGAACTATCCTTCCAGCCATAGCTAGTCTTTGACATGAGGAATGGCCCCAGAAGAACACCTTTCCGCTAGATCTCCACTGGCAGGTGCTCCCAGGCCTTGGGGCTTTGAGGAGTGTCCACCCAGCCCGGGCAGCCGGCTGCTTCCTCTCCTCTGTGACAAGCCATCTGTACTGCCTCATGTAGTGCTACAGAGCAGGAGAGAGGGTGGGGTGTGTGCTGCCCCTGCCCCGTGCACACCCTGCTCACTGCCATATACTTAAGGAACAGCAAACTGCCCCACTGACCCGGACCTCTTGCTCCCTGCCGCCCATATTGGACTCTACAGATGCAGCTGGGCCTGGCTCCCGCTTCTTCACCTTGAGACCTGGTGTAAACATGCGGCTCTTCTTTAGCTCTCCTGGCTTTGCGGCCAGAAATGAGAGAGATCACTTGCTGATACAGACTCCAAAGGGTTGGGTGACCTCACTTCCTATCTGTTTCTTTCCTCTGTGTGCTCCAACTAAGTGAGTCTCTGTAAAAGTCACAGTCCACGACTCGGATTGGTCCCCTGTGTCATAGCTGTGCCCCTAATCTGTGGGTTAGACATGGTCTCTACACATGCCCCTGGACCTCGAGAAAGAATGGAAATTATTACCTTCATCTTGGTTCTTAGGAAAGCCTGGTCTCTGCTTTGCGAATCTGTCAGATGGTCCACATCTTCAGGGGGTAGCTGGGCCACCACACAGGATCCTGAGGCCACACTATAGCTGGAGTTCCGAAGACTCATGTCCAAAGCCAGAGGGCAAGAAGGGGGTTCGGCCACAGATGGCTCTGGTTCCCGGTAGGGTGGGGGTGGACAGAAGCCCAGGCTGACTGGAGAGAGAGAGAACAGCCAGATGAGGGTGGGCGGAAAAGACCCATCAGAGTTCCAGGAAGATTCCCGAGCAAGAAGAAGACTAGAATCTGCGGCCTCCCTTCCTCCTGCTGCAGGCATGTGGCAGAGCAGGGCAGGCCCCTGGGCCTCGGATGCTGCACCTCCCTCCTGCCCATTCAGGTGATTACAGGTGACACCAGCCAGGAGCCACGGGCTCTGAGTAGCTTCTCTTAGCGGAACTGGGAGTACTGAATTGCCCAGCCAATTATGCTGCCAAGTGTCTGCCTGCCACACCTGGGCCAGTCGCTCTGGATTCCAGCATGCCCTTACTCCTCTGGGGACAAAGGGCACCACTGGAGGCCTTGGCAGGAAAGGCTCCTTCAGACTCATTCAAGCCCAGATGGTTCCTGGCCAACTGGACCCTTCTGGGCCTATTCTACAGGCAGACCTTTGGGGTTTGGGTGGTCCTAGCCTTTCCTCCCTGACCTGGCTAATCTCTGCTACTGTAGCCCATCAGGATCCTGGGCTCAGACTGGGCACAGCTCTGTCAGCAAAGAGGCCAGGTGGGTGGAGAGGGAGGAGGCCAGGGAGCAGCAGGTGGATGCTCGTAACAGTCTCTGGGCGCCCTGCCCAGGGCTTACACAACCCTGCTCCACTGCAGGACCGCTCACTGTGGCAGTCAGGCTGGGCGCCCTCCGGCACTGCAGTGGCATCACCGATACCTGGCAGCCCTTTGACAAGGCCGCTCCCCTCAACAAACACCATGAACTCAACGGGCCAGGCCTTCCAGGCTGAGCTGGGACCCTGAGCCCCGGTCCTTATAGGACAAAGAAACACGGGTAGCAAGTCTCAAGGCCCGCAGAGCTGGGACAAGAAGTATAATTTTCCAATTAGTCAGTACAACCTAAGCTCTGTACTTAAAAAGCTATAAATTAGGAAGTTTCCTAGTTTCAGAAGGAAAAAAACCTCAGGAGGGGGGCCTTATACAGAAAGGATGAATGAATAGGATTTCAGGGCCTCGAGCCCTCTGAATACTGTATTCCAAGCAAAAGATGTCAATGTAGGGCAAGGACCCAGGCTATTACCCTCACCTCTTCTAGGGGACCGCCAGGGTTGTGGGGGAAGGAAAATATAAAAGTACCTGAGTTTCGGGAGAGGCCCAGTTCTCGCCCCCTCAAAACACAACAAAGTCTCACAGAGGGAGAATGCGCCTGCCTGCCGCCCAGAACCCGTTCTTCTGGCGCTGGCGTCCGTCTGTCCAGGGGGTGGGGGACCTTAATGAACCATCTCATTCTAGGAGTTGATTCACTAGCGCCTGGCCCCAGCCTGGCACCTGAGCTGGCATACCACCTCTCTCTGAGCCATGCTGACTGGTGTCAGGCTCAGAGACCAGTCTCCTGTAGTGGAGCCTGTGTAACAGCCAGGCCTAGGACCAGGAGAGTGGGGTCAGAGTAGTGGCGACTCTGGTGCCCACTCAGATAGGCCTTGGCTGAAAGTCCAAAACTAGATGACAATTTCCACTTCTCAGCCCAAGTAGAGGAAAATGTCACTACCACCATCCTCATCCTGTCACTTGGGCTGGTGTGAGGGACACTTCTGAGAGGCAGCCAGCCACATGGCCTGGGTGGAGGATCAGCCTGTGAGGTGAGCTGTCACACTTGGCTCCTTGGCCCTATGGAGGAAAGGCTGGGCTAGGAGTCTAAGGCCTGCAGTCTGCTGTAGAGGACGAACCCTGGCCTTTCTTTCCTCCTACACAAACCCGGGGAGGTTGCTAAGGACAGCAGACAGGACACTCCACGCTGTCTCTACCCGAGCAAAGGGCCAATACGACTGCCAGGGTGGGGATGTTTACCTCAGTTTACCCACCCCACCAAACCTGTCTCCCTGCCACCCCCACAAAAGTGTCTCTACAGGGCTGCACGCACAGGGAGTAGCCACTGGCATCCTCTCCACCTATCCCAAGTGCCACTGAATGGCAGGAGGCAGAACTGGTTGCGCCTTGCTGGTGCTCCTCTCTGTCCCTCTAATTAGATGTTTCCTGCAAGGCAGTGGCCACGGTGGCTACTACTCATTGCCCCCGCCCACAGCCACTGAGTGTGGCAAGGCCAGTCTGGCTAACCCTCTCCCTCCTCCCTCAGGGACTGGTAAGTTCTCTCCTGTTGCCTTTACCTGGGTGATGCTACAGAGCTGGCCTGGAGCAGCAGACCAGATTTGAAAAGGCCTTACCCTCCGCAGGCCTCCTTTCTTTCAGTCACTGGCCCAAATACCAGGCAGACTGCCAGGTCCTAGCCCATAAAAGACCTCAAGACAGGGCTGCACATAGGCCTGACCCTCAGCTTTCTGGGGAGAGCCTGGACTTCCGGCTCCCCAGCTGACCTAACAAGTGCTGGTGAGCGAGCGTGAGTGTGCACACCCAGGCTGGCTTTAGGCTGCCTTGTACACTGATCTGGAAGGGCTGGGTCCCTTGTGTTCAGCTCTCTCAGTCCTGCGCATCAGCCAGCCATCACCTGAAAGGGACAGCAGCAGCCAGTGGGCAGGCGCTGCAGTGCCAGAGTGCAACAGGCCTGTCTCTTCGCCTTTTGTTGCCCTTCCGCTGGATACAGCGTTCTCAAGGCAGGGGCCGCTTCCTTTCCCAGTTGCTTTCCTTTCATGCAGCGTCTGTGCTGAAGTTAGACTCAACTCTCGGCCCTCGTGCCAGGGGGCCAGGCCCTGAATGGACGAGGAGCCTACTGGCTGTGTGTGGCATCCTTTACCCTGTCACCCGCACAGACTGGGGGCCACCTGCCTCTCATGTGCTGTGCGCTGAAAATGAACGACGACACAAATATCCACAGTGGCTGAGCTGTGCTCCCTCCTCTCCTCCCCAAACCTGGAGCACTGTCTCCACCATCTTCTCTGGGACAGTGCAGCAGCATCTGCCTTAGGACTCCAAGCTTGGGTACAGAGCAGCTTGCAAGACAGTATCTCATATGACAGTTGCATTTCCAGCTGCTCTTCTATGCGTGTCCTGCCCAGGGCGCTCAGCAGTCGCTAGAATGCTCACAAAACTCAGCCTTCCCACACATGCTACATGAACTGGGGGTGGGGGACACAGCTGATGTTACAGCCAATCCTACTCAGCCTGGAAAGAACAGTCAGAGTCAAGCAGATCTCTGAGTTCAAGGCCAGCCTGGTCTACAAAGTGAGTTCCAAGACAGCCAGGCAGGGATACATAGAGTAACCCTGTTTCAAACAACAACAACAAAAGCTGGTCAAGTCCCCGCACTGTCTAGAGCAGTGTCAGGCTGGGCCGTGTTGTCTGGAGGAATACCGGCACTCTTGCACTTCAGCCTCCTTGATCCGGGTCTTCAGTTTCTTTGAGACAAGGTCTCAGACCCCGTTTGCAGCTGACCTTGAACTCCAGATCTTCCTGCTTGCCCTGTCCAAGTGCTGAGATTATAGGTGTGCCCTCAACGTAGCCGCCAAGCTTTGGACATGTGCTGCCAGAACAGACCAGCCAGCCAGAATATTGCCGGGGGAAAGCTTGGACGTGGGGGGCCTCAGAGCCTAGAAGAGGCTCCTGGAATTCTCCTGGAGTTCCAGTTTTCTGGCTCAGTCCAACCCCAGGTCCCTTCCCGACTGTTGCTTCTTCACTCAGCAAGGACAAGCTGTAGAGAAACTGTCCCACTACAGCGCCTTCAGCCCTTCCACAGTGCAGGACTGGAATTTACCCCCTGCCAAGGGTACCTGCCTCAGCCTACAAACAAAATAAAAAATCCCTCCCTGTCACCACAAAGTAAACATACTACCAACAGACTCTGGTACCAAGAGAGATGGTGGATGGAGAGAGGAGCCGAGTGAACCTCTAACTTGAGCTGTCTTCAATAGGGAATGGGGTCATTTCCTCACTTGCCTGTCTTCCATTGTAGGCTCTCAGCTGTGCCCTCAGCAAAGGTGAAGGAGTGACCGCCCTGAAAGAAGACCCTCTGGAAGCTTGTGTAGGGAGCAAGGCTGACGTGATTGTGAAGGGCAATCCCAGGTCAGGCCCAGCAACACACCATCCTCTGTGTGTGGTCAACCTTCCCCTCCAGGTAGTCTCCATGAAACTTTGAGGGTCTCAGGGATCCTTGGCGGGAAGGTCAGAACGTACACGCTCCCATGTTCCCCAGTCCTCCCACTGGGGATGGGGTCATTGCTTAGCTGGTCAAAATGTGCCCCAAGAATCTGTGAGGTAGGGTGACAGAAACGTGCCTAGCCGGCTCCTGGGGTCATGGCTGGCTGGTGATGGAATGGCTCAGCCAGGAGACAGAACCCACCCCCTGCACTCCAGTCATCTGAGGCACCCAAGCGTGGACTGAGGCCGTTCCCTTTTCATTTCCAAATCTGTGGGAAAACTGCGGCTCCTGTGGACCACCTAATTTAGAGGAGGAAAATTGACCCGTAACTTCTACCCACAGGTCTTTCTCTTCACTCAACCAACGAGGGGAAATTCTTCTAAGAGCGTATTTCCCAGCCTGGGCAATCCTGAAAGAGGGAGCGACTACCTGCACTGCATGGCTCCTCATCAGGACAGCCGTAGTAGGTGGCAGCGACCACCCAGAGGCCGCCTATCTCCTCAACTGGACAGGCTGCAAGGCCAGGTCTGTGGTCTTTGTGACCCTCAGATCTGTGCTAACCCCAGGAATCTGAATGATTTGAACAAACGGAGTATCTTTGTCCTTCGTGAAAGTCAACATATGATCTGTTACTGATTGGGATATGAAATAAAACTAAAAATAACAGCACTCTGAGCCTGGCTCAGACACCGCTCACCTTTAGCACAGTCCAAGTTCAGTTTATCAGATCCCAAGGAGCAGCTAAGCAGCAAGTCAAACACAGATTGGGGAGGAGGCTGGAGCAAGGAAGGGGCTGTGTCCCTCACTGGCCTTCCGGAGGTGGAGCGCTGGACAATTGGCCAAAACACTTAGCCAAGCAGAAATCACAAAATCCCAAGCCCATACCTCAGGTGAGGAGGCACCCTTCCCTTTTTGCCTCCTATTTTCTCACACTGGGGATTCTAGGACCTTCTGGCCATTGCCTTGTTTAAGAAGCCTTCAGAACAGCCTTATGGCCCCTTGAAATAAAGTTAAGTTGTAAAACATCCTACCACCACTGGATCCTGGCAGGACTCACACAAAACACTCACATCCAAGACACTAACAGCTTATTCAAGAGGGAAACTGAGGCAAGAGCCCACACAGGGTCCTCACTCACCACCCCCATTCCCCCACTTTCTTAAAAGCCTGGGTGGTGCCAGAGAGCCTGCAGATCAAGGGTCAAAGTCGGTTGGTTAATTACCACCTCCCCCCCACCCCCGCTTGGAGGCGCAGGGCAGTACGCTCCTGCCCCACCCCCAAGCAGGGGAGGGGGAGTTGAGAAAGCGCTTGCCTCCCGATCTAGGGATCCAGGGTTTTTGTACCGGGAGCAGAAGTGTCCTTGGGCTCTGGAGGAAGATGCTGCCGGAGGAAGAGACAACTCCGGTTACTAATTCTAAGATGACACGCAGGCTGTCAAGGCGTCTTCCCTAAATAAACTAGTACACCAGCTTCCTGGAGTGTGTACCTTAGGTGTGGAGTGGGCTCCAGAACTCTCTTTTGCTTAGTGTCCTCTGCAAGGGTGAACAGAGGTGGGACCCAACACCACCTTGACTCAAGGGCAAGCAAGGTGCATCAGGTGTATTTCTCAGCAACTCCTGGACCATCAGGCTGGAGACCAGGGAAACTCGGAAGCCCTGAACCTCGGCTCTCTTATCTTAAGCGAGCAGTGTTGTGTGGGCGACTAAAGCTCCAAGTTTTCCTTTACAATGTAGCCCAAGTCTTAGCGGAAACTCCAGCTCCTTTCCAGTCCCCCGCCCTCCCCACCAAAGTGGCATCGCTTCAGTGATCCTCAACTGCCTCATGAAAGAAAGTCCAGGTTTTCTGGATTTACGATGCGAGAGCCCGGGGTGGGGGTTGGGGGGCGTCCCCTGAGCCGTGACACACCCCGCTGCATCCCCGGCGGCGCGGGCCTGCGATCCCTAGTCTGGGACATCGGCCGAGCCTCCCTAGTCTGGGACATCGGCCGAGCCTCGGCTTGGAGCTCCATCCGCCTTACCGTGCTCCTCCCGCGCCGGGGGTCGGTCTGCGGCGGGAATCCGCGTCCCCACGCGCACTGACCGGCGCCGACCGCTTGTCCGTGCGCCCCGCCCTCCCGGCGCCAGGAGCCCGCGATGCCTCACCTGGCACGTAGATCTCGCCGCGCTCCTCGTCTGGGAGTTCGCTCCAGTTCCTCTTGCACGTGGAAACGCATGGCTTCTTCACCAGGAATGCGCGGGGCATCTTCGATCCCTCCTGGACCGGCGCGGTTCGCTCCCGTAAGTCGAGTCCGGGTGGTCGTCCCACCTTTTCGGGGCTGAGGCGCGGGAATGGGGACAGTTCAAGAAAGGAGTTCGCCGAGGCGTCCCACGTTCTGAGGGAAGAGAGTACCAGGGACGGCGCGTGGAGCGTCCAACTCCGCCGAAGGCCGCCGGTGCCGGCAGAGCGGGTGCAGCCAGGTGCACCCGGATGGAGAAGCGCCAAGCGAGCGTCCCCTGGCTCGACTGGCGTCCCTGCGGCCGCTCGCGAAGTCTTCAAGTGCGAGCTGGACGGACGGGTTCACGCTTTATTGGCTCGCGGCGGTGTGTGTTGGTGGCTCGGGCGGGGGTGGGGTGGGGGTGTTGATCTGATCTAATTAGCTTGGAGTGGCCAGGAGCGCGATGGCGCATGCGTTGGGAAATAACGGTGACAACCCACCTATTTGTTACCTGTCGAACCGGTTTCCATTCCGCTGCGGGTGAGGTGGCCTCGCGGCCCGGGCGGGGCGGCACGACGTGGGTAGGAAGTGGGGGGGTTGGCGTCCCGATAGGGGTGGGTTGGGGGGCGGGCTCCGGTACCCACACCTAACAGCACCCGACCCGACCCGGACCTCCCTTGCCCGGCGTCGTCAGGTTTGCAAACTAGAGTTTCGGAAGGAGCAGGCACGGGAAGGGAGGGCAACGTTATTTGCACCGTCGCTAGCACGCTCTGTGAGCGATGACATAAAACTCGCCCAACAGGCCTGGGCCCAGCCTGACGCGCCCCAGGCACCCGGAGAGGTACAAAGCCGCCGGGCGGGAACAGGCGGCCCATGCCCGCACCCAGCGGCCCTGGATCCCCAAGGCCGGGCTGAGCAATTCTTGATTCAGCACAGAGGTATTTGCTGGGCACCGGCTTCCTACGGGAAGGCACGCCAGGCGGCAGGAGCGCGTAGACTGGGAGGCTCCGAAGCGCCAGTGAATCCAAAAGCTCGAGCCCGCCTTTCAGTTGTGCCGGTGTTTAACCGACCTGAGTCCAACTTAATTGAGGCCAGCGCCGTGGCATATAGGCGGACGCGGTTTTCCAAACTCAGAAATAGCCGGTTTTGGGATTCTGAAAATCCGTGAGAGACCAGGTGATGAAGACCCCAGCTGAGGTCTGACCTAGTCCTCTTTGCCTGTTGCACCAGTATCCTCCCTGGGTGGGAACTCAACAAGCAGCTACTCCCCATCCACCCTCCTGTGTTCAGTAGGCCCGGTTGGAGTGATGCCCCACCCCCATTGGACTGCCCGGGAGTGTTCCGTGGCCTTCATTCAGCCACTTCACTGTGACACTTTGGCCGTGGCTGAGTTTCTTTTACTGGCTGACCTATTAAAGGCAGGGATGGGACCTGCAGTTAAAGGCTACTAACATTTTAGACTCCAGACCTCAGTGCAACTTTCTCACAGTGTTAAATGTTTGCTGGAACAGACTGTGAAGGAAATTAGTCTGATAAATGAATTCACACAGTTCAAAAGTCAGGAGGCACAGGTCATAACCCAGCACGTGGGGAGCTGAGGCAGGGAAGCTGAATGGTAGAGGCCAGCCTAAATTCATCATGAAATCCTGCCTCAAACACAAAACAACAAGAGGCCAAAGAAATGAAGGCCTTGGAGCTGGCTGAGAGGTCAACGCCCAGGACTCACATGGCGGAAGGGATAACTGATCCCACAAATTGTTCTTTCACCTGTACAGACATACTGGGTAACTGGTGCCACGCACACATCTGCACAAGATAAGTCAAAAGGAAAGGGAAGTGGTTAGGATGGACTCAGAGGCATTCAGAGGACATTTCAAACATGGAGATACTTGGAGAGACCCTGTACATCTCCCCAGGATCTTTGTGAAGATAGGTGGGTGAGGAGAGACACATCAGCCTCCCTCTCACTGAGCAGGAAGTAGTTGGACCAGGAGCCTGAACTCTCTATTCCTGGAGAATCACAGAGTTACTGGGAAGGTGCTGTGACCCTTAGGGCCATTAAGGTTTGCCACCTCCCTTTGCTGTCCCTGGAGAGCTGTCTGTCATAGTCCACTCTTCCCTATCCACCTCTCATTCTGATCTTGGACCTTGCCCTTCAACTAGCATTAAGTGAGCAACTACTGTATGCTTATCTTTAGCAATAAATCCTGGGGTAGCAACATGGATTGTCTAGGAGGCAACTGAACTTAGCTCACTTTCTTTCTTCCTTATTATTATTGTTGTTGTTGTTGTCATTTTGAGACAGGATTTCCCTGTGTAGCCTTGGTTATCCTGGAACTTGCTCTGTAGACCAGGCTGGCCTTGTACTCAGAGATGCCTGCCTCTGCCTCCCAAGTGCAGGAATTAAAACCGTGCCCAGCTTCCACAGTAGGCATTGAGCCCTTTTGTGGTGCCATCCCGACAGGCTGGTCCCAGGGAGTGCCCAGGAGAGTCTACGTGAAGTCTTCACAGGTGACCCTAGATACAGAGCCAGGCTTTCTCATCAGACTAGTTTGGATGTCCAGAAAGCCAGGTGGGGAGCTAAACTGGGCGAAGCCAGCCAGTCCAGTATCCCTGCTGGTACATAGTCACAGCGAACAGAGCGAGGTCCAGGAGACTGGGGCCTTTGTGCCATCTCTCTGCTGCTGCAGCTCCTGTGGGATAGCAATACTTATGGAATGAATGGTCTTTACATTTTTGCTTATCTCTTTTATACGTATGAGTGTCTGCGTCTCACATGCATGCCTGGTATTTGAGAAAGCCAGACGTGGGCAGCAGTGCACTGGGACTGGAGTGGCAGGTGGGTGCTGGGAATTGATCTCAGGGCCTCTGGAACAGCAACAGGTGCTCTTAACTGGTGAGCCATCTCTACAGCAACTCAACCTTATGTTTTAAGAAGGTGTCTCTCCAATGGGGATGTTCTATCGGGAACTCACCAAGGCCAGCTGGCCCGGGACTGAAAAATCATGGGATAAAACCGGACTGGCTGAACATAGCGAACAATGAGGACTACTGAGAACTCAAGAACAATGGCAATGGGTTTTGATCCTACTGCACGTACTGGCTTTGTGGGAGCCTAGGCAGTTTGGATGCTCACCTCACTAAACCTGGATGGAGGTGGGTGGTCCTTGGACTTCCCACAGGGCAGGGAACCCTGATTGCTCTTTGGGCTGATGAGGGAGGAGGACTTGATCGGGGGAGGGGGAGGGAAATGGGAGGCGGTGGTGGGGAGGAGGCAGAAATCCTAAATAAATAAATAAATAAATAAGGTGTCTCTCGCCGGGCGGTGGTGGCGCACGCCTTTAATCCCAGCACTTGGGAGACAGAGGCAGGTGGATCTCTGTGAGTTCTAGGCCAGCCTGGTCTACAAGAGCTAGTGCCAGGACAGGCTCCAAAGCTACAGAGAAACCCTGTCTCAAAAAAAAAAAAAGGTGTCTCTCCACCATCAGGCGTGGTGGCACAAGCCTTTAATCCTAGCACTGGGGAGGCAGAGGCAGGTTTTTCTGTGAGTTCAAGGCCAGCCCGGACTATATAATGAGTTCCAGGGGAGCCAGGCTATGTAGAGAGAGTGTCTCAAAAATTAAAAAGAAAACTTAAAAAGCTAGGTCCTCTCACTGGACCTAGAACTCGTGGTTTCAGCTGGTTTGCTTGCTCATCAAGCGTTTTCCCACTAAGCCATATGCTAACCCATAGAATAGGGAAGGATTAACTGGGGTTGTGATGGTGGTAGGTGGGGTTGCTGAGGTCTGAATGAGAGGTGGGAGCCAGCTGGACAAAATGGCCAAGAGCATAAATCAGAACCAAAGCTGGCGCCAAGGCCCATGGTAGAAAACAAATCTAGTGTGTGCAGCTGTGGTGGCTGGATGCTGGGAAGGAGGGAAGCTGAAAGCTGGGTCCCTGGCATGACCTGTGATGCTGGATGGAGAAGGAACAGGGAGGTGGCGGTAAGGAGACCAGGGCTGTGTTGGAGCTACTGCAATGGTCCAAGTAAGAGATGGTGGCTTGAGTCACAGTGAAAACCAAGCCATGAGTCAAGTGTTTTGAATGACATCACCTGTTGGTATAGAGGACAAGAGGATGAAAGGAAGTGGAGCCCGCAGCAAGCAAGAACCATGATGCCGACTGTGAGCTGTCTGGATATGGTACACAATCCCCATCCCAAGGAGCCTGAGGAGTTAGGAAGGGTACTGGATGGTGAGTGGAACTACTCCTTCCTGCTATCACAGTTCTTAGGAGCCAGGATAGGATGGAGGCATGGAAGGAGCTGTAAACCTGGAGGTCTAAAGCACAAAGGATCATGGGAGATACATACTGAAAAGACACAGAAAAGAATACAGCTGCTGTCAGTGCCTGTGGATCTGGGCCAAGTCATCTACCCTTTCAGGGCCTCAGTTTCCCTAGCTGTGATCTCGGGCTCCTAGTTCTAGCTCTGACCTTTGGCAGTCGAGATTCTGAAGAATGACCTTTGCCTGGGAGACAGCAACTCTGCAGTGGACAGCCCTTCAGAGCGGGCTAACGGGGTCCTTTGTCAGCCACCTGAGCAGGTTCCCCTGCACCCCCTCAGCTAAGACAGGTGTCAGACACCCCAGGTTGGCCTCTACCTCCCTGTGTTGCTGAGGATCACATTGTTCCTCCTGCCTCCATACCCTGCCAACCAGCAGCTTTTCCAGACCGGCTTGGGAATAGACCCATTGAATCTGCAAAGCTCCTGATAAGGGGCCACCCCTAGCCAGATGGCAAAAGGCTGGGGACCATGGTAGAGGAGATGGTTTTTAGCCAAGGTCTGTGGAGTGGAGCTGGTTGCTCTTGGTGGGTACCAGAGCGTGGGGTGAAACTCCACCACAGTAGCCACAGGTCCCATCTGCCAGTTTCAGGCCCAGCTCACAGACTCCACATTCTGGCTCTGCTGTTGAAGTCATCAGCCTCCAGATGAGAGTCCCACAGCCCCAAGTCACTGCCTCTCTCTTCCCCACCCCTCTCCCCCTAGCTGCCACCTAGGCCAAGTCCCTGCCACCCTTCACCTGCTCTGGGCTCCCTACTAGCCCCACAACCAGCCATAGATGTTATGAAAATCCATACCCTCATCTCCCTTCAGTGGACAGAGCCCCGAGTGCCCTGTTCCTAAGGGCCTCTGCCTCCTGCCGTTTCCCCGTGTGCCCAAAGCACTCCTTCCTCCACCCCAAGCTCTTCGCCATCTTCTCATTGTAGCCTCTCCTGTGACCATATTTTTCCCCATCTGGAAAATGACTGCTCCTCATCCAGGTTTCTGACCAATGTCCCTTCTTCCTAGAGCTGATGCCCCCATTGTCATCTCTACCACCGGATTCTGTTCTCTTTGTTAGCGATTTGTCATTGCCATCCCACCAGTATCAGGTTTTCTAGGACCTGTTTCTTTTTATCTTTTATATTACTTTTGTATGTATGCATGCACACTAAAGGTGTGTGTGTGTGCTTACAGGTATGTGACGGCCAGGAACTGAAGTCAGGTGTCTTCCACAGTTGCTCTCTACACGTGTTTTCTTCCTTGCTTCTCTCTCTGCTTCTCTCTCTGAACTGGCTCAACTGGCTGAGCTCCCAGAATCCTCTTGTTTCTGCCTCCCTAGCACTTGGATCATAGGTGCTCCCTGCCACACTCAGCCTTTGTTTGTGCAGCAAGCCCCAGCCCCAAGGGTCCCTATTTACAACACTATTTTTAAAATTATTTTACCATACCGTGGTACCACACCTTGGTCATGCTAAGCAAGCCCTCCACCCATTTCTCTCTTACTTCCCGAGTCGTGGTCTTGCTAAGTTGACCTAGTTGACCTTAATTTTCTGTAGACCAATCTTGAAGTTTTGACCTTTCTGCCTCTGCCTCGGGTTCTTGAGTGGTTGTGATTTCAGGTTGGGAGTAACATCTTTTAAAAAAAAAATTAAAGACAGCCTCACTGTGTAGCCCTGGGCCTGCCTAGAGCTCATTCTATAGACCAGGTTGGTCTGAAACTCTTCTCTGCACCGAGTGCTGGGATTAAAGGTGTCTACCACCATGGCCAACCCAACAAACACCATTTTAAATAGCTTTATTATTATCCATGTTCCATAACCTTCATCCTCACAAAACATAATTCAGGGGTTTTAGTCTCCAGGAAATTCTACAGCCATCACCTTAAGTCCAGAGCTTTCTGTCTTAGTTAGGGTTACTATCGCTGCAATGAAACACCATGGCCAAAATCAAGCTGGGGAGGAATGGGTTTATTTGGTTTACACTTCCACATCATAGTCCATCACAAAAGGAAGTCAGGACAGGGACCTGGAGGCAGGAGCCTGCTGCAAAGACCATGGAGGGGTGCTGCTTACTGACTTGTGCAGCCTGTTTTCTATAGCACTCAGGACCACCACCCAAAATGGGCTGAGCCCTTCCCCATCAATCACCAATTAAGAAAATTCCTTACATTTGGATCCTATGGAAGCATTTCTCAACTGAGTTTCCTTCCCTCCTTTCAGATAACTCTAACTTGTGTCGAGTTTGACATAAAACTAGCCAGAAAAAAAAATCCCTGCGAAAAGAAACTCTGCACATTGGCAGCTGCCCTCCACTCCCCAAACCCTGCCCTGGTACCTACTATGCTTTCTGGTCCATGGACTCCTTTTGTGAAGCATCCTTGTATCCACAAACCCAGTGCTATGGGGAGGGGGTTCTTTTAGGTCCCATTTTTACAGATAAGAAAATGGGAGGGGGGATACAAGGGTGACAGGCAGACCATGGAAGAACTGGGAAGTGAGTGGGATTGGGTGCACGAAGTGAAATTCCCAAAGACTACTCAAAGTTATATTTAAAAAAAAATCAAGGCCCAGGGCCATTCAAGGATTAACTTCTCCTTTTTCCAGTGAACTCTCATGCATGGGGAGGGACAGAAATGCAGAGGAGGGAGACGTGAGGGAATAAATGGGAGCTCCTGTCTCCATAGGCCTGATGGTGAGCCAAGGACACCTCTGTCCTTAGACCTGATGGTGAGAGCCAAGGACACCTCTCTCCTTAGACCTGATGGTGAGCCTAGGACACCTCTCTCCTTAGACCTGATGGTGAGAGCCTAGGACACCTCTCTCCTTAGACCTGATGGTGAGCCTAGGACACCTCTCTCCTTAGACCTGATGGTGAGAGCCAAGGACACCTCTCGCATGCCCAGTCTGTTTCGTAGAGGACACTTGAGCAGGCAGGTGAGAACAGGGCCCATTCAGGAACTTGGACATCAAGAGTTCCGAGGGTCGCAGAGCCGGCACGCAGCAGAGTCCAATTCCACTTGCAGGAGGTTCTGGGGCTTCATGCAACAGACTGCACCTTTTCTTTTTTCTGGGCTTCTGAAAGTTCATGCGTGACAGGCACCCATCCTCAGTACCCAGGGTTGCCAGGAGCCCTGGTGAGTTTAGGAAGACACATCCATCAGGTGCTAGAAACCACACATGCCACCTCAAAGAACCCAAGCCCAGGGAGGCAGAGACTAGAGCATCAGAAGCTTGGGACACAGCCAGAGTTCCAGCCTGACCCCTGGAAGCCTCTCTCCTCTACTGTAACAGGATTTAATAATCCTTGGCTCCTGGAGAGCTGGGAGACAGGACCTGCAGTTATCAGCGCCCTCTGGGCCTCCGACAGGGAAACCAGACAGGCTCCTACTCCAACCTGCCATCCCAGCTCAGGGCTGCTCTCACCCTGGCCTCTTTCATCTTAGGCCTAATTAGCCAGGCGCCCCACCCCAAAGCTCCTTGAACAGGAGTCATCACTCCCAGTTTATAGATGGGGAAACTGAGGCACCTAGAGGGAAGTGGTTTAGAGCTGTCGCCTGTGAGTCAGCTGTGGAGCCTGAGCCCAGAGGAGGCTTCTAGCTGGACCTGCCCCTCTCCCCGCCCCCATCTCCATCCCCTCTCTCCTATCCTTGTTCTGGAGGCCCAGGCACCCTTCCTTTTAGGGTTCTTCCTCACCACTCTCAAGTGTGGCAGGGAAGGGCATGGGCAGCCAAAGGGGAGACAGACAAGTTGCCTGAACGTAGCAATGGGGGCTCAGGTGTTTAATCCTCACAGACTCTAGCAGAAAGCTTGAGGGCGGTGGGCAACGAGATTTGGACGCCAGTAGTTCTGTGCCCTGGAAACTAGCGGCCAACAGATACCCACAGTCTGGGTCTCCTGAACCACAGGCCCATTCTAGGAGCGCAGCCTGGATCTAGCCCTCTGGACTCCAGGACGGAGCGCACTACTTGGCCCTAGCAGTCCGGTCTCTACTCAAGCCTTGGTTTCTCAGTCCACATTAGTCGTGCTACGAGCTGAGTGACCTTCCAGGCCCCACCAACACGTACATCCAAAGTCAGGTTCCCGTTGTTTTTCGGCTTCGCGGCGTCTTAAGGCCGGTCCAGCCCGCAGTACTCTAGCCTGCCCGACCCCTATTCGCAATCGGTGTGACTTCGGGCACAGGTCAGCAGCTACTACACGGCTGCGACCCCGGCGCCGGCTCCTCGCCCCCAAGCAGAGCCCGGTCAGCGTGGAGGACGCCAAGCCAAGCCCTGCGGCGCCGGTCCGACCGGTCCCACCGTGACCCGCGCCTGCTCTTCCTGCTCTGCCCTGGATGTGCGTCCCGCGCGCCCCCCAGCGGCCGCTCAAGGACCCGCACCGAGCAGCCGGGCAGCAGAGCTCAGTCCCGAGCGCCGTGCGGGGCGGCTAGGGGACGCGCTGGCGGCCTTCCCCGCCTGCCCAAGCCGCCGTTCCGCTCGAGGGCCTGGGAACGCACCCCATCGGGGAGCGGGCCGGGAGCTCGGCCCACCAAACCCCGCCTCTGCCCGTGCCTGCGGCGGTTTCGGGGCAGGGGGCCTGCAAAGCGAGACAGTTACTCAGACCTGGCGAAACCGGCGTGTCGGCACCTGCCGGCCCGGCAGGCGTGGCAGGCGGAGGCTCCGTTACGCCCCGCCTCTGGGCTCGCCCGGTCCCGGCCGCCCACGCGCCGCGCGCCCCGCCCCGGCCCGCGCCGCCAGCCTGCCAGCCCGGAAGGAGCCGGCCGAGCGCCCGCGGCAGCTGACTCAAGCGGTGAGAGGCCGGCCCGTTACCACGGGCGCCAGGGGCCCCGGCGACGCTGTGGTTTCGGTGCCCTTCGTAGGCGGGCGGCCTAATGAGCTCTCGGCACGCACCTCCCGGGTACCCCCACCCTGATCGCGGCGGTTCCCGTCCCGCAGGGGCTTTGGGCTGCTGCTTTCGGTCTCATCCCCGGAGCCTCCAGATTTCAGCTTGGGACCTTGGGCCCTGGGGACTCAGTTGGGGTCTGCAAGATGGCCCTAGGGTGACAGCAGCCCCCTCTGGGACGGTGGAGGACCCGGGCGCCCTCTGGCGGCCGCGAAAGCCTTGCACGTCCTCGCCGCGGTGTCTGCGGCGGAGGGCCTGATGCTCCTTTCCTCTGCAGAGAATTTAGTTGATGACTGGCCATGGGGCCCCTGAGTCGTGAAGCCTGGACCCAGCGCCTGGGGGCCTTCCGAGCCAGCCCATCGGCCTTCCTGGCAGGTGCGGAAGGTGAGGATTTGGGTCACGACCTGCTGAGTGACCTAAGGAGTGAAAAGCTAAGCGAGCAGACTAAGGTAGGTACTGCCCGTGTGCCCTGCTACGGCCCACATGCTTGCTCCCTGCCACTGCAAGCTGAGCTTCGTCTTCACGAGTCCCTCTTAAATCCGCCATCTAGGTTTCCTTACTGACACTGAGCTTGGAGTACTCTGACAAACTGTGGCCTGATGCTCCTGCCGCGGAGGCTGCTGCCACCTCCTTGTTGGACACTCTTATCCTCCTGCCCTCAAAACCTTCAGCTCTCCGGAGGCTCCTGCTTTTGGCAGCCACAACAGTCCTGGTGTCAGGAGGTGCCGTGGGACCCACTTCGGGAGCTTCCTGCCGGCTGCTGCCCCTTCTGCTTGGTTTAGCCTCAGGCCCGGACATGGGACGAAGCTTTGGAAGCGCCTCGGAACAGCGCCACCTACAGGCCACAGCATGTGAATGCCTTGGAGAACTTGAGCGCTGCAAGCCTGGGCTGCTGGCCGGCTCCCTGGCGACGCTGCGTAGCCTCCTAGGGCAAACGGGTCCCATCCAGCCTGTCAGCCTGCTGCTGGCCCTTGTTCTGCACAACACCTTGGTGGTACCATCCAGGGCTGCAGCTGGGGCTGGGCTGCAAGGCCTGCTTGTGGCTGGGGTCTCCTCCGTTGGGAGTTGTCCCTGGGACTGGACACGAGCTGAAGGGCCGGATGCCCATCTTCAGCCCCAGGCACCCAGCTGGCCCACAGCTGAGCAGGAGCATGGCTTTCCATTGCTAGAGCCCAGCCCTGAGGAGGCCCGAGAGCTGAAGGCTGCAGTGGCCCAGCTTCTGGACACCTCCTACCTGCTCACGCCTGTGGCTCAGGCTCAGCTTCTGTGGCTGTTGGGCTGGGCCCTTCGGGGTCTTCGGGGACAGCCACCAGTGCTTTTCAAGCCACAGCTAGTTCGGCTGCTGGGAACAGCACAGCTCACCCTCTTGCACTCAGTCCTGGCTCTCAAGGCAGCCTTTGGCGAGGCTCTGTTCACTGCTCAGGACGAAGCCCTGCTGCTCCGCAGGCTCACCTTGGTGGCCCAGCACCCGGCCCTGCCCTCACCCACACACCTCTTTTACCTGCAGTGCCTCCTGCGCTTCCCAGAGAATTGCCCACTGGGTCCGGAAGGGGAAGAGGCTGCCCCACTGCTGTTGGGTCCCCAGCTATGCCAGGGCCTCATGCCCAGTCTCCTGCATGACCCGATGGTCCTGTTGGCCCGCCTGCATCTGCTCTGCCTGGTCTGTGCTGATGCTGAGGAAGAAGAGAAAGACCAGGTCCAGAGCCCACAGGGGTACCTGCAGGAGCTGATGGCTGGCCTGCAGCAGAGAGCGGCCCTAGATGGTGGTCCCCAGGCCTTGGCCACTCTCTGTTTCCAGGCTTCATACCTCGTTGCCAGGTGCCTGCCTGGGCAGCCTATAGTACGGACATCTTTGATCCATGGACTGGCCCAACTATACCGAGCTCGGCCTTCTCTGGCTCCCCACTTTGTGGACCTCTTAGATCAGGTAAGCCCTGAGCTGAGAGAGCCCCTCAGGGTGGTGCTGCAGCAAGAAGTGGTAGCCAGGCCAGGCAAGAACGAATCACTTTGCTGGCACCTGAAAATGCTGGCAAAGGTGGCAGAAGGAGATGCTCAGGATGCCACCCTCAGCTTCCTACAGGCTGCAGCCGTACACTGCACGGACTGGGGACTACAACAGGCCCTGCTGCGGGTATGCCGAGCTCTGCTGCGGGCAGGAGCGGGAGATGGCCTGGCAGACTTGCTGCAGGTACTGGCCAGACAGCTAGAGGATGCCGATGGACGGGACCATGCCCGACTATACTACATTCTCTTTTCCCACCTGTCAAGTCCCAAGCTGGGCGTGGCCCTGGGCCCCTCTCCTGCTGCACCTGCCCTGGCATCCTCTCTAGTGGCTGAGAACCAGGGCTTTGCATCAACACTGATGGTGCAGGAGACTCCAGCTCCGATTCGGTTGTGCGTGGGGCCTCAGAAGGCCAAAGGCCCGCTCCTGTCGCTGCCTCTGCAGGTGGAGGCAGTGGAGGGTCCTGTCTACTGTCTGGAGCTGCGCTTCCGTGTGGAAGGACAGCTCTATGAGCCTTTGGAGACTGTCCATATACCCTGCTTGTGTCCAGGATGGCCTGCCCGTCCTCTGTACCTGCCCTTACGGCCCCGCCGCCCAGCCCCTGCCTGCCTACATGTCCAGGCCCTTTATACCACACCTGCTGGCCTCACATGCCATGCTCACCTGCCACCCTTGTCCGTGAACTTTGCTGACCTCTTCCTGCCTTTCCCCCAACTCCCCAAAGGCTCTGAGGTGTGTTTCTTTGATGACCTCTGGAACTCCTGCCTGCCAAAGGGTGTAGAAAGTCGTATGTGGTGCCCACTTGGGCCACAGGGCCTGGAGGCCTTGGTGTCCCAACACCTAGAGCCCTTTGTTGTGGTGGCTCAGCCCCCCACCACCTACCTCATAGCTGTCCGCCTGCCCCCTGACTCCATGCTGCTGCTGCGGCTTGAGACAGCTCAGGTGGATGGTGTGCCTGTGGCCCTCAGGACTGACAACTGGGCCGTGCTGCCCCTGGTAGGGGACTACCTCCGTGGCCTTGCAGCCCGTTGAGTCAGGACATGCTCCTGGGGGCTGGTTCAAGGGACTGCCGAAGGAGCATGTTCTTGTAGCTCCTGCCCCATAAAATCTCGTTGATCAACAGCACTCGCTGGCTTGTCTTCTTTTGAACCCTTGTTAGGAGCAGACTTTCTGGGGTTGGGTCTTAAGCCCCCAAAAGATCCAGGCTAGTCCCAGTCCTGCAGCCCTCCACAATCCCTGCTCAGACACTCCGAACAATATGTTTCCCGTGAGGTCTGGCTTAGCCCAAGGTGACTTCGTGTGAAGGCTGCTGGAGCTTCAAGTTGGGCCTCCTGACGCCGCCCCAGCTGAGCTCAGACTCCATGGCACAGTAGGCTAGCAGCCTGGACTCTGGAGAGAAAGTTTGGTGAGTAGATGGCCCCTTCCTGGGCAGTTCTGGTAGGAACCAACTGTAGAGAGGGTGTGCCGGCGAGGTTCTAAGCAGATGGAGGGGCCCACATGGTTTTTTAAAAGCCTAGCTTTTATGCCCAGGAATCCTCTCAGATGAAAACATGCTCTCCAGCTTCTTTCTCCAAATGTGCAAGACCGTGAGGATGCAGACACACCGAGGGCAGGCAGCAGGCTGGTATTTTCCACACATTGCTTCATGCCGTCCTTGCCACAACCCTGCAGGTCTCTCCCCACGGCTGAGGAAATCTCCAGCTGAAGGAGTTAAGTGACTTTCCTGGGTCACTCAGCTGGGAGGGAGTAGTATTCTGTCAGCCCATGGCAGCCACCATTGCCCCACTCAGCAGAGACGCGCAGGGCCAGTCTCTGGCCCTTTCAGGCCTGAGAAGCCCTGGTAGGATGCGCTGAAGCAGCAGTCAGTTCCTGCTGAGTGGAAGAATGACCTTGGCCTGAGTTGTTCTGGGGAAAGGGTGTGCGTGTGGTGTGTGTGCACATGCGTGCATGCGTGTGGTGTGTGTGCACACGCGTGCATGCGTGTGGTGTGTGTGCACACGCGTGCATGCGTGTGGTGTGTGTGCACACGCGTGCATGTGTGGTGTGTGCCTGTGGTGTATGTGTGGTGTGTGTGCACACGCGTGCATGTGTGTGGTGTGTGCCTGTGGTGTGCGTGTGGTGTGTGTGTACACGCGTGCATGTGTGTGGTGTGTGCCTGTGGTGTGGTGTATTTGATGCCCCTGCTCTGGTTTCTTACAATTAAGTCTCGAGAGTAAAGAAGGCTTGGGCCAATTTGCGGCGAAAGGCCAGGTTCAGGAGCAAGCCATGGTAATGCCTTGTTCCTGTTGAGTGACTTTTCATCCCAGATAGGGACCTACAACAGAACAAAGAAAAATTCCGTTCAAGTCTAGTTAATGAGCCAGTGAGTGGATTGGAGTTACTTACAGGAGTACGGGTGACTCAAAGACAGTTGTAAAGGCCACTCTGGCATGCGTGACCACCGCGGGAAGCTGGAGCTTTTTACAGGACTTGCAGACAGCTCCCCCTAAGGTTCCCCACATCAACTGTTGACTGTTTTTATAACGGGAGGGATGGGCCTCACCAATCCTGTAACTTTCTGAGCTTTCAGATCCTCAAGTTTCTTGAATCGTCTGAGCCTGAAGAAATATTTCAGTGAGGAAAAAGCCATATCGTACCATTCGCCTTGGGAGCCATTGCCAAATCAGGAAGGTGGTCATTCTAGAAACTTCTCCACCTGGTTTGAGCTGAGAAAGAATATAGGTCAGTTCCTTACACAATTCTTAGGAAACAAGAGAAGTAGGCTCCCCAGAAGCCACCACTGGAGCTGTTCATTCCAGAACAAGCTCCCCTGTCTGCAGTCCAGCATGGGGAGTGGGTGCCATCACTGCCCCCCCGCACCCACTGAGCCAGAAGCCTGCTGCTGCTAGAGAGAGCCTTGCCACCTCCGCGTCTAATGCAGAGGCCATCTCGGGGGTGTCATCCAGTTCTCGTCATAGCAAAGGGACTCTGAAAGCCGTTCTTCCCTGCAAACCAAGCGGTGCTTTAAGCCTGCGGCTAGGGAGAATTGATCAGGAGGCTAGGGAGATGACTCAGCACCCACAGAAACAAACATGAGGACTTGAGTGGAGCTCAGCACCCACGGAAACATGTGAAGACTTGAGTGGAGCTCAGCACCCACGGAAACAAACATGAGGACTTGAGTGGAGCTCAGCACCCATGGAAACAAACATGAGGACTTGAGTGGAGCTCAGCATCCACGGACAAACATGAGGACTTGAGTGGAGCTCAGCACCCACGGAAACATGTGAGGTCTTGAGTGGAGCTCAGCACCCACGGAA